AATTAGATTTGTTGATCATTTTTTTCGATTTAAATCGAATCGTTTTTACTATTTTTTTCACGTTTGCTCAATTATCATACATAGATTATAATAAAAAACCTGATGTTATACTCATGGTGTTTTCGTTGGTTGCTTAAGTTATCCATTAAAATCACAAAATGCATTATATATTAGATAATTCTATTGATGCTGCAATTTCGGATATTAGTCTTTTAGAATATGTAACTGGCAAAGTCTATTGTAATTTAATATTTTATTGAGGCAGATTTTAGTCGTAGTGTATATGGTTTTGGTATTTCTAGACAATGATAATATATAAAAGATTTAGATGTCGTTATATTATTATTAAGAGAATCAGATCTATTTGATAATTTAAAAAGACGTCTACGAATATAAACATGGTAGCAATAAGTGGTTTACTTCTTACATTTGTAATAAAATATTTTCTATGAATAAAATCACGTTGAAAGAATTGTGTAATTCAAAAACAGATATTTGAGCTAAGATATTCAATCAAAGCTTTTTCGAAACATGCGTACAACTCTCAAACAGCTTTGTATGATGAAGCAATATTTTAAATGCACAATATTGTTCACTGCTTGAGTTCTTTTTCTTTATAATAATCAATCAAAAATAATTTTCTTCAATAATCGAAAACTAATATTGAACAAATGTCTGGGTATCATAAAAAGAATTTGATTATCACTATGCGTTCATTTTTTCGTCATTAGCTTTATCGATGGAATGGCTATTCAAGCATTTGTACTTAAATTATAAATGCAATGATAAAATGTGATTGAACGTCGTTTTCCTATTAGCATGAGGTCATTGGTTGTTTTTCTGTCTATATTTTTGAATTAATATTTGTTTTACTATTTTAAGTCATCTTTTAGAATATATTAATATTCATTAAATCTTTTTTTTTTATTAGTAAATCTTGTTGTTTGTTGTTGCTGAAAGAGGTTTTTCAATTTGTGATTACCTTTTTTGATCAATAATTCTTTACAAATAGTCAACACTTACTTTTAATTTATTCTATGAATAAATGAAAATATACTATTTTGTTAAATATGATTAACGTACAAATGCGAGAAGAACATTGCTTGCATGACAAGGTAAAAAATTAATCATGATTATTCATATATTCTTTACATGTAAAACATATTTACTCATTGGAGCTAAGAAAAAAAAACCGTTGAATATCATGTCAGAAAATGAAGCCCATAGAAAAATAAGGATAAAGTCCAACTTTACCTTCAAAATAAAACCATTGCATGTCTGTGGAAATATATACACCAAATCAATATAAATCAAGACAAATGAAACTTCAAGGCATGTCTTTTGTTTAAACGCTTCCATCAACTCAATAAATTAATATTTGGTTACGCTTCAGAAACTTTTTTTATTATTCATATTTGTCATATTCTAAAAACAAAAAGGTTGTACATACATAGAGGTATCTCAAATCAATTTTTAGTCATTCATCAAAACAGAGACAAATAATCATCGGTACTCTATATATTTAGTAATATACTAATTACGTATGATTTCAATCTTAATATGACTTCCGAATTGAGATCTGATCAATAGATTGAACAAAATGTTTCCGACGGATTCAACAGTAAGGATCATAGAATGTTGTTATTAATATTATTAGAATCTGATTTACTTTTCACTTTTATTAAATTTATATGTACCATGGCTACCAAAATTACGCAACAAAGTTTATTTTAAATTGTTTTCCGCTGTCTTACACGTCAAAAGAATTTAAATAATAATTCGAATAGAGCAAAATATACAAAACAAGAATATACGAAAGTTTCCTGATTGCCAGATCCCAAAAGATACAGCCTCAAAAAAGCTGAATCATTAGTTTTTAGAACCTAGTACTCATAAATATATTTTTGTGCATATTTCACAAAACGCTAGAGCAAACAATTCTCTAAAATAATGAAAATATCTTCGATTTGTCTACGATCCTTTTTTTAAAAAGGATTGCAAAGAGTTCGAAAACGACTTATTTTAAAGAGAAGCTTTTCGCTCTGAATAAAAGCAAATTTGTGTCTTCTAGGTACTAAAAAGTGGCGGCTCATTTTTCTGGAAATCTCGACCTTCGAAATCTGATAGTCGCTTTATTGTCGTATATTCTTGTTCTACATTTTTTTCATCTAATCGAATCACTATTCGATTGCTGTAAACTGTCATACGTATAGAGTCTATGGGCTAAGCAGTATCGCTGATCTTACGTAATAGAACGGAGAAAAAGATGCTATAATCAACGTTTAGTATCAAAGTGTATCATCATCGACGCTAATGTATGCTTTGTTTTACGACTTCGATAGCAAAAATAATTTGAAATAAATCTTGTTGAATAATTTTGGGAATCACTGCATATATGAACAGTTATAATTGATCCGTTTATAATTTTCAAAGCATTATCTTGATAATGATTGTGCTATTTTCTGTAATAAACAGTAAGTAATATATATAAATCGATGTTTCGACTCTTACAATTATTATATAATTCTAAAATAGATGAGTGTCGTCCTGCAATAGTTGCTGAAGGTCCCATGATTCATTTGCGAATATTCGGTTATCAAAATTGGACACTAATGTTTCAGCCATTCATGAAACTTGACGAACTCTATCATAGGGTGAAATTTCGTGATAACTTTGATTGTCAACAGTTTCAGCACCTTATCGGTACTATAGTGTAGACAAACGTAATTATGTTTACCAGTCAGACATCTCTTTTTGTCCTAAAAGGAAATAATGCTTTCATCCAAAATTTATCTTGCTGAAGCTTACTGAGCACCGATATGTGCTGTTTAATTGAAACCAAGACTTTTCAAGCTGACTACCTATTTCATTCTCGCTCTTCCAGTAACCTTTGTCCCAACTACAGAAATAATGTGGAGATGCTGGCGAAGATGTGTAAGAATTGCATCGGTCAACGTCTGAGTTCTGATTTTATTGACATTCCAAGCAGCACTCATAATAAGATGTAACTTTCGTTCTTTGAGAGTCGTATCGTTCAGAACGACGAATGATATCAGAGCCTAGGGGTCGAATTTTTTACATTGAATGATAATGTTGCTTTATTTTTTCTTTGTAGATGAATGTTTTCATAAATCGAATACTAGTATAACTTGTCAAAGACAAAAAAGTATACAGGGAAGACCCAATCATCTAGATGTTCTTTTATTATTGCGAACAACAAAACTAAACTATCACTTCTCAATTATTTGTTATCCATTTGAGAGCAAATCTTGATTCTCATTGTATGCCATGTTTATAACTATCATTTGTTTATTTATTATCGTTGGGCCACAGACCAGTATTGATCGCCCTTCGTTTGATTCGATCTTGCACTTTACTGAAGGCAAAGTAAAAACTGTTGACTCAATTACTGGTCTTCCAGCACATTCAAATCTCTTTCGACAAACAATAGATATAACTAACAGTGATACTATACGTGGAAAGAGTTTACCTGCTAATGTTCGTCAAATCAAACTCAACTCTGACGCTAAATTAGACCCCAACAGCATGCATTATCAATGATTCTATCGAATCTTTGGAATCTGTTCAATGCCTATTCGAAAATCAGCAACTGCTTGTACTTACATTTGATTCGACTACTCATGCTGACTTCATCTATAATAAATGGATTGTATCAGGTGCCAAATTTGTTAATGGTGGTACAGAATGGGGTTGCCGTAATGTAACGACGCGCGAGCCCGTAGTGATCTTTCAACGACTATCAACATTTCGGCTGAAAAAAAGACAAATTTTTATCAAAACTTTCAACGATATTAATATAAGTCTACTTCTGTGCTTTGCCAACATTTCAATGCACTTAACATGGGAACTTGGTAGTGTAAGAAGAGAAGCACCAGCACCACCTAAACAACAAACAGAAGTCGCAGTATCCAAGTTGAAATCTATTTTTAGTTCATGGAATTTCGATCCACAAAAGCCTCGTGATGTTGAAATCTTTTATCCTGGACAAACGGTGGACGTGAGTTGGTTGTATTCGAATATGGATGGATCAACTACTCTCGAAATCGTGCTTTATCGAAAACGATTTCTATTGGATGCTGAAATAAGTAAATTGAGTATGAAAATGAATGCTATCCAATTGTCTTTCGTCATTCCTGCTGCTTTGGAAACATCATCGAATGACCAATATTATTTTCAATTTAGATTTTCTTATTCATTGATCCGCTATCAGAAAACAAGTGCTGTCTTCTATATACCGACGGTACCGTCTATTATTGCAGGAGCACCACCCATTGTTGACGATGTATTTTATGCAGGTGATACAGTGCCGCTATCATGGCAAAGTGTGAATTTTGCGGCGGCATCCCAAATTCTTGTACGCTTTCGTCGAGCACGCCCAATAATACCTGATGCTACGTTAGACACTTTCACAGTTTTGGCTACAACCAACACGTATAACTATACAATATCCTCTTCCTTAGATCGAGCTGATAACGATAAATATTACTACTTCGAATTTGACTGTGAGTTCATTATAAATTTTCAATCGAAGACTTTTCTTATTTATCATATTTAGACTGCACATCATGGCTATCATTGAATTGTAAAAAGACTACAAATAAGTTCTTTGTACCGATTCGACCATATTTACTTCCAACATTCTCAGGTGTAGACGATTGGTTTTCGCCATCACAATTGTTGACACTCAAGTGGACTAGTGCGAAATTTGCTAACGGCAATGATCTACTTACGATCAAACTTCGTCGCTATATTTTTTTGCTACCCGACAGTGACATTGACACATTCACATGCACAGTGAGTTCAAGCGGCGCGTGTTCATGGACTTTGCCAGCTATTGAAAAAACGCTTTCCGGCTATTATTTTGAGTTCAATTGGTGCAAACATTGGTATTCGGCAGAATGCAAAGTAAAAAATAATCGATTTTCTATTCCAACACACGTTGTCGGATCATGGAATTATGACGAACAACGAGGTGAAGCGCTGGCATCGAAAACACTCTATTTGACCACATGTAGTAGTTTATGTCCAACACGTGACACGGAATTATTCTATATTTGTCAGATGTGCGGTAAAGGACGGTCCATGGGCATGCAGATAAATTGCACAAACTGTTGGGCTACCTACGATTACAGCATTGTTCAAATGGATATCATACTCAAGGGCAATTCACCCTCACTAGACCAAGTAACAGTGCGCATGAATTCACGTGTTTCCGTTAATCTGGATTTTGCTATTTCGGCCGATTATCGACATAGTTTTGATGATGGATTGCCTCTACCATCTATTCCGATCGGCCCCTCCATCGAAATTGTCATTGGTGCAATTCAATTTGGAGTCGGATTGTTTTTTTCTCCTTCAATATCATGGAACATCACAGTGGACACGATTGGAAATCTAGCCGCTGGTGTGGATTGTCAATGGCAAACGAATTTGACACTGATTAGTACTCCTGGAAATACAAGCAAAGAGTATATCCAAAGTTTGACGCGTAATATTCATCCAATACTGGGAGACTTTCAAGCAAATCTTCTAGTTGATTTTGCCTATCGACCAGCACTAGAACTGACGGCTGGTATTTTCACAGTTGCATTAGGTACTGATGGATATATCATATTCGACAGTGTATGGCAATACCCACCATTTACTGCTCTTCCGACATCGACTTTTGATTGGAATCCACAAAAGATTGCTCCTATTCATCTTTCTTTTCCATCGAACTCATGTCTTACGGCTCATTTCATTCGATATCATACAATGTACGGTATTCGTAACACTCAGATCTCTATCGAATTCGATAAAGTGAACAATCTCGTCCAGTTTTTCACTGATTTTGAATTCTCATTGTCGACAAAGTCCTTTCTTGATCTTGATCCGTATGAATTATCTTCAGATTGTATGTACCAAGCGTATTTGAATATAGACATGCCACAAACAAATATACTTAGTTCTCAATAGACAATTTAATGTGACAACGGACACATTGGATACATATCTGTCAAGGGCAATAGTTGCTGATTTAGCTTATGCCCTTAACGTATTACTAACACGAATTTACTATAATAGTACATTCAGTGTACAACAAGATCAAATGACAGGAATAATGTTACTGTTTTTACCATTATCTTCTCTCTCCATTAACGATCCGACAGTGGCGACAATGATTCAGCAATTTCGAGAACAAGCAATGAATTCGAGATCACTTTTCTATTCTGGTTTGGTTACGAAATCGATTAATCTTCAAGAAACATTCAGTATCAATCGCTTCAGTACATAGAAACTACTACTAGTAGTAACTTGACTATGCGCTGTTGGAATATTCTGATGAAAATTGAACACGTTCTATGTATCAGCGCACAGGGTGAGTAAAAAACGGGGTTTTCGAGTATAACTAGCCACTCATAAGATGAGAATGAGCTATAGAGTTACCGAAAATTTTGAAGACTTCAGGAGCACAATTGGGCACCTTTACTGCTAGTCCACCGCAAAAAAAAATAAGGCTTTCGAAAAATATTTTTTGTCTATTGAACTTTACAGAGTTCTCTTTACTGATAGTTTTGATAAGAAAAATCTTTAAATATGACTAATACATGATGATGCTAGGATCAAAATAGTAATAAACATCTTAGCTGTTAGCCAGAGCAGTTTGAGATTTTCAGTTTTTTGATACTAGGATTGTTATTTGTTGATAAAGTTAAAATTTCTTTTTATCAAAATCAAGACAGCTCTGCAAGGTCTAACAGATAAAAAAGATTTTCTGAGAACTTTATTTCTTTCTAGTTTATAACTAATGGAAGTGTTCATTATATCCCTAAAATTTTCAAAACGTTTTGTAATTCTATAGTCGATTCTTATCTAATGAATGCTTAGTCATACCGATCCTGTAATACATCATTGTAGTTAAAATAGTAGAAAATCTTCAATTTTCCTGCGATATATAACAGATATCCATTCATGTAAATGATAGTCTGCTATTATCGCGTTCACAGCTTCTCAATAGCTATTTGATTTACTAACTAATAAAATAATCCGTATTTTCCACTATTCACTTCCAGACACAATGAGTATATGCACGCATTGTTCAACAATTAAATATTTTCTAGGAAAAATCACCAAATTTTATTTAGGTCATATGCAAATGTGGACCGAGCAATATTGATTTTGAGAAGGACAAGAAAAACAATTCAGAAGTGAAATAATCTGATAAATATAAAGAAGGAAAACACGTCTTTATACGTAGGTTAAATAAAAAGCAGTATATTGGACAAAATTGCCCATGTTCAATTATGAGAAGAAAGAAAAATTGAATTAGTTTGCTGAACAATACACATGACATTGATAATGTTTCATATCCGATTGTGTTGACCTTGTAATTATAGTAGAATTCTTCAAAGTATTCATAGTCAACTGTGGAGAACGGCTTAAACAGACAAGATTTTATAAAATCGCATGTAATCGCTTGAAAAAGACTTTTTGCAAACGTTTAAACCTGTAATGGAAAAGAGTGGTTGTGTAAACACGCGGAAAATTGATTCTAAGACTTTAACGGTTGCTTCTTTTCACACATATGTAACTTCTCCAATGTTCTAAATATCATGCATTTTTCGTCCAGATTTTTATTAGAGATTAGTATTTTCATATCTTTTTTTTCTAAAATTCGGCGTATTCATGATGAAATACGAAATATTATAAGTATTTTACAGATTAAACTTTTCAGTTTCAATTATTGTACATTTTGTAATAAAAATAATATTTTCTTTTTGCGTTGTCATACATGTTAATAGTCGTTAAACTTCTTGACATATAAGAAAATATAAAGAAATCCAATATCATTATGAAAATAACTTTTTAAGCAAATGATTATATATTGAAAGTGCTCGGAGTTTCCTATTATTCTTTATAACTAGCTTTTATGATGTATTTATGTATTATAAAATAAATCAAATGAAATGAAGTTATCTTTATAATCAAATTCTTGCGAATTGCAACTTATCAATAAATTTTTTAATTTATTTTTCATATTTATCATCATTATAACGAGTAAATTTTTGAAAAAAGTAATTATATATTCTGATACAGCTTCAAGTTCTTTATCGTCTTTTGTATTCATCTATTATTTTTCATTTATTTGTTGTCAAATAATTTGAATACAGTGACAGCATCTCGAATTAACAGGTACCGAAAATCTGAGTTTTAAAGCTATTTTATAATATATTTTGTCAAAGTAACTAAGTATTCTGATATCAGGTAAAATTCTCTATCCTTTCTTATATTGGAGTTCCTTAGATTTGAATATTTTGCTGATAATTATATCAGCTATTATTGATATACTCTAACTCTCATACACTTATGCAACACATTTTCTATTCCTTCTCATCAGTTAAATATGTTTCTTTGTATGATATTTTATAAAATGTTATACTGTAAGTAATAGTAGTAACAGGAAAGGTTTCTCAGATGTTACAAAACTGAAAATTATTTCAAAAATATGCATTATAGAATTACTTTTCAAATAAAGAAAAACAGTTTCAATTTTCAATTATTCGATATATCAGTGAAAAACTTATTAAACAGATGAAGCTTCTTAAATACAGGATGAAATAGAACTTCATGCACTATTAAAATGTATAATGAACTTAGAAAAATAGTTTCTATAATTATGATAAACTTTTAAAAAATTCATTGAAAAATTCGTAATAGAAATGCAATTGATAAGAATCTTCTCATAAAAGTGCTTCCATTATATTTCATTTACTTGCTAATACATAAGTACAGCATAAAAATAAATTACACGGAATGATAGAAATCTCTAAGTGCTTTCACAATATATATTTTCTTTTCTTAAAAAGCTGTTTCCCTACAGATAATATACTAAAATATGCCACTGTAACTATTTTTCTTCAAGAAGACCTAGTGACGTGCATTTTTTACAAAAGTCAAAATTTTCTACGAAGAAAACTTTTCGAAATACCGATAAATTTTAGAATAACATCTGTATTTATATCCTTTGTATCACTTGTTAATAAGATATTTCTTCTTCGAAACAAACATCGAAAAGTCTTAAACAGTTCTCGTAAATAATATTCTTCATAAAAGTTAATCTAATTTTGTTTGAAATAAAGAATATCGCTTAGATAAAGTTCTATCAGAATTTATCCCATTGGTATTTATTTTTGGAAATATGAGTACATCAAACAGTTAAAATGAAACAGGAAATTGAAATAAGTGATAAATAAAAATTCTCATATCAAGAATAATTCAAAAAATAAAATAAAACGACTGTTCTTTCCGAAACAATAGTTCATTAATCTCAAATACTTTTACTGTTAATATTTATTTCATTTAAAATTTATTCAATTTTGAAGAATCAATCAAAGTATTAAAAAAAAACAACACATACTCGATTTCAATTCATTATAGAAACTGTTGTACATTGTTTCATATGAATATCGTTTTAACCTGATTAATAAGTTAACTATTGAAGGTGCAAATAAATTGAAATTATTTTTTTCGTAACGCATCTCGAGCATTGAAAATTATCAAAGCAACAATTTATTTTAGGCTTTACTTTTTATTTTATTGTATAATTTTTAGAAAATACATTTTATGAACGAGCTGAATAACATCATAGATATTTCTTAGAGAAATAATGTTTACATATAACTATCCTTTAATGTTACTGTTATATCCTATGTTCGTCTGTCATCTTGCTTGAATAGTTTTTGATGAAGAAAAAAACTACGACAAGATATATCGGGTCGAAGCGAAAATTATGCTATGACAATATACTTATTATGTCTCTTCCTCTTTTTTTCGTCGTATTTATGAAATTTTTACTTGTTGTTATTTCGTTTTCTTCATATTTTACTGATTAGTCACTGATACTAAGATCAAAAAAGAACAAAGTAAAATGCAAAAGCGATATGTAAATTTTTTCGATTTTCATAAGGGAAAATAAAATCGAAAAGTGAATTATCTGTGATTTTTACATTTTTCATTTAAATTAATAAATATTCAATTTGAAATAAAGACAAAGAGAAATTGTACTTATCATGAGTCTTTCATAATTCTATGGATAAACATTTACTTTATTTTTTATTTTCTTCATTAATTTCATTTTTAAAATAAAATCAGTATCTTATATTAACTATTGACTTTTGTGCATGTTCAATAAAAAAAAATTTCATTCGTTTATATATATTCTTTCTTCATACAAAGTTGTTTATCCAAAAGGATTTGATCTGTATACACCAGTCCCTATATTATGTTCGAACTATAATATGATCGTTAAATATGATAAATACTTTAGCATTTAACTGATTTATTAATAAATATCATTTTCTCAAGCCATGCTAGGTCGAATATTCGTTCGATTGACCATTCTATTTGACTACACGGATTCGACTAGACTTAATTCTAATCTCAACGACCTAGTTGTTTCATTTGTTGAAAAATTCATCATTCTTCTTTCGTTAATCAAAGATTGAAACATCGCTCCAACAGCATTTTCTCACTCGTTTAGTAGACATGTTCGAAACAGAGTCTTTGTAAGATGCTGATGATGAGAGAAAGAGACGTAGTCGAGATTGTTTGTCTTTAAGCTTTTTATTGTCAGTTATTTTATTTTCATCTTTTCAAAGTATTAGATTGTGTGATAACATTCATAAATTGCTTTGTTTTCATGAATAAATACTCTTGTGTACACTATCGATGATGAGACCAAATGACGGTCAATCATATCTCTCCTGACGATTGGTTTCGAACGTATATCTGGAAACGAATGGATTTTTCATCAATTTTAGACGAGCTTGATTAAATACTAACCGTTCAATGCGTAGAAAAATATTCACAATGCTCTAGTATTGCAAATCTCCTTTCATTACTCGCAATAACATTTCAAAAAAGAAAAATTCAAGTTTCATTTATTTAGTTTTGTAGTTTAAAAAAATATGAAGGACACTACTGCACTACCATACAATACACTTGTCCTTTCGACTATTGCCTTGACCGGGTGTACAACCAAAAGCACGATCGAATTCATCAAAGTTTGATGTTGGACCGATGACTCTGCATAAGAACGCTTACATGAGTTATCACTAAAGAGAGAGAGAGCTTTGAAAATATCTACCTGAACTGTCCTAATGAATGTTCATCCGTCAGAATTCGAGACACTGCATAGGCATTGGTCATTTTTGTACACCAGGTATGTGCATAGTTGATGAAAAACATTTGTTCTGATGTATATTTCTGAAGACCTGGTAATCTTTTATCGAGATTTGGATTTTCTTTGGCCCACCCTTGATAAGCCTGCAAAGAAAAACGAGTTACTTATTCTTCTAGGACATAGTTATACAGTAAATAGACTTCAATGTTGAAGTACACTTACGAAGAATGCTTCCCGAAGTCCACCATTGTCAGCAATATCTTCACCTTGTGTTTGATTGCCGTTCGCCTGATAGATGATGAAAAAATCATCACAAATATATTTATGACGAATCTTATCGTCAAACATACCTTCATGTCGACTTGAGTTGCTGTAAAATTACTGTACTGTTCGACAATGCACGTCTTACGATTGATAAAATTTTGGATAGTTTCATCACTCCACCAGGGAAGTCGATTTCCATCTTTATCGAATTGTCGACCAACATCGTCAAATCCATGAGTTATTTCATGGCCAATTACTACTCCAATCCCTGAATTAATATTTCTAATTAGTTTATAGAACGACGTCATGAATCGACTGTTTTTCAGGATAGCATCCAGTCGAAAGACAAAGAAGTCTGTCAGTCTTGAAAAGTGAATTTTTCAATGTTGAATCAGTGAAAATGCTCGATAGATTAGTCCTCTCTTCTAAAAGTTTGTTTAACTTTTTGCAAAAATCGAAGAAACTACAGATGCTTTGATTTTCTAAAGTCGAGAAATCGTTTTTACAAGTTTTTAGCAAACTAATCATCCGAAAAATAGATTGAGCTTAGATCTGCTAAACGAAGACTTACCACCGTAGTTGAGGTACCTAGACAATAAATGAGAAATCGAGAATAACACACAAAATCAATCAGTGATACTCTTTACTTTGGAGCATCTTTGTCAAAGAATGGTTTCTGTAGAATACCGGCTGGAAACACTAAGTCATTGAATGAGAAACAAACGTTTGTAATTATGGAAATAAAAACAAAAATGTGATGGAAGTTTACTTATTTGATTTCTCGATGGATCATAAAATGCATTGACAATACTGGGTGCCGTATCACCCCAAGCATTGCGATCGACCGGTTTTCGAAGAGCTTGAAAGTTTTCTTTGGCGCTGATTTGCAATAGCTTGAGGACATTTCTGATATACGACGAATTGAAAATATACTAAACCAATGAAATTCAAATCTGATCATCTGGAGTTCAAGTATTAAACAATACTCGATGAGACTTCATCGAATTTAATGATTGTTGTCTAAGTTCTTAATCATATTACATACCTCAGCATAATCTTTGTCGAGTTTCGTATTATTATCACTACTCAAATAGTCAGGATAACCGATTTTTCGATCGATTGCTTTAGCCTAAATACTCGTTCATGCATAATGTTGATTTTATTCATACTGATCAGTCCAATTTACCTTCTCGATTGCTTTGGTCATCGATTCAGCGTCCATCCAAGTAGTTTGATTGAGCATACCAATGAATGCAGCTTGAATATTGTTGATCATGTCGAATGACTACATATGAGAAAAGCTTATCAAATTGAAATTCTTTGCTTATTCGTACCTGATTACGAGCATTCGCATCAAAATAACGCTTTAAATAGAGCTTCGAGACCGCAAAACCCATGTTACTATTCACATAAGCACCACATAGAATTGTACGTGGTGATTCGGCGCTTGTTCCTCGAAGAACTCGCTCGAAACGGTCTCGAAAAATACGATATTGTTGTGGCATATTGCTTACTCGATTCATTATGAAACGCCAAATCATATAATTTTGTAGAATACGTGGAGATGTTTGAATAACAATAGCGGAAACATTAAGCAAATATTCGAGTTCATGCACAAAAACGATATCACTATCAAGTAGAGTAACATTACCCAATAGATAAGCTCGACGAAGATAATCGGTAAAGTCAAACTAAATAGATGTATAAAGATACAAGAAGATTCGACAAACAAAATAATAAAACAACTGACTGAAGTAGTATTGAATGTGAGTGCCAGATCTGCAATGGTTGTTCGAACAGTTTCATTGTCACGTGCTCGTTGTTCAGCACTGTTCCAATGAAACTATAAAAGTATATATGGATATTCATTTTAATCGTAAACAATTAATAGAGATTACTTTTGAAATTGTCTTTTCAAATTCAAATATATCATTGACATCGTTATCGATCCAAGATGGATTATTGGCCAGAGCTGTCGTCAAATCTCGCATGAATCGTCGATAGGCCACAGTAATATTAGTCTCCTGAATGTAATACTCCCTTTCTCTTAAGCCAAGATCACCTTGTCCTATCTAAAAAAATGAACATCTGTATTTTCTTTTTCTATTCAACTTCAATGCATTTTCTGATCAGAACAAAGCGGATTAAATCCATTGTGACACTTACTTCAATGTCGTAGTTAGTGGAATTTTTTTCGTCTGTCGATGTGCCGACACGATAAAAGAGACTGTTACTGTATTTTCGAAGGTTGAGTAATAGATTCAATAGATCGAACGTGGAATTGTCCCATGAGGGACCTTGTAAGATGGGCCATCCACCGAATTCTGTATCGACCAATGCAAATATTGGTTCGACACCATCAGCTTCAATGCTTGCTTCATCGATACAAGATTTATACAAGCGTCGAGCATTAACAACGGCCATTGGCTCGCTTGTATCATTTGTCGGCGGTGATGAGAGAATTTCTAATCATGAAGAGAAAGAAACTACAATGCAAAGATCATTGCATCCTACCAACAATATTGTTCTCTAATTGAGTTTGCAATAAATTGAAAGTATTTTGTGCTCCGGCTAGGAAAACAGACGAATTTTTTAATAAACTATAACGATAAAAGATCAAAAATGGCTCACCATCGTCAGGAATTCGAGTATTTTTTATCCATGTTCCACAGACAAAATTAAAAAAATCTTCACATGGTTCGACAGTTTCATCAATACTTTCAATCAGATAGTCGGCTATGAAGAATATATTCACATTGCTTCTTAGTGAATTTGTAAGAAAAAACAGATGTACCTGCTTTGACACAATACGGAGTCAAACATATATCTCGATCAACTAAAATAATAAACTGATTAGAACTGATTTTATAATGATAACAACAATAATACCCTCTGTTGTTGTTCCTGATGATATTGTGGTCGATGACACCAAAGTTGGTCCTTTTTTCACCTTTTCCAGAGCATAAAACGTGGCAAAAACAATAGTCGTTATAATAAATATACCCAGTAGTGCTCCGACTAGTTTAGGAATGGTGATAAAACGAGATGTCGACGACGATGAGCCACTGAAACGAAATGAAACTTGCTTATTTGTATGGTTATAATGCAAATATGTTTTTATTTCTTAATAGACAAAAATAGAATTGATACATGCCTGATTATCATCTGTTCTGTTCGAGAACTAAATCGACTAGTCATGTTGGTATAATATCCACAATTTGCGTTGGTTAGCTTGTTTGCAATATTTGAAGAAAACGACACAATGCGAGAATCTTTACTGACGACAAGATAATGAGTCTACACTTTTTCTTTGATAAAACAGTATGAGTCGCTGAAAAATAAAATTCATACGATAAGTCATTTAACAAGGATGATAAGATAGGAAGATAATGGGAGAGCAGAGTCATACTATCAACTCATAGCAAAATAGATCGGCTTTTTCGACAACAGTCAACGATACCAAGCTAGAAAATATTGAATATTAAAACAAAATATAGATTGATCTATATTTAATGAATATGTTTGAGTGGTCATACAAGCAGTCATTAGTATGCCAAAATATTGCGCTACAATGTAAACACGAAAATGTTGACATTGAAAAGCGGTAGAAGGTGAATAAAGCAAATACAACAAACTTTTTCTATTCTGTGTCAAAACCTCTTGTAAGAGGTTAGTGCAATGACAGAATAACTCGATAATTGCAGACTGTTTTCTATTTTCAAGTTGTCTTTTGTAATTGAATATCGTTCAGTTTCTGTTATAATGATCGCCTTATTTCATTACCCATTCGATAAGAAGTCACATGGTCTCAAGCACATGGTCGAATTCAAATTCAGTTTCTTACTAGTACGATCTATTTTTTTCTGATAAATATTTATCAATCGATACAAAAAGGACGATGATCAACTTTTCATTTTCATGAAATCTCACTTGTCAATCCAAGACTGGGTATAGGTGTGAATGCGAGTGGGCAGGTGTGCGTAGAATGGCTGCCAGCTCCTGCATCTACACCTACTCCTACCTACATATATTTGTTATTTGTATTCCGATAGATGAAGACATTCTTCGTTCATCATCAATCAATTCGTTGTGATATTGTATTTTTGAAACGTTTCGGATATTGAAAAGGTTGCGTGTCGGAGAATTTGTTCATTCTTCTCTGTAGGATGGTCTCAATGGTTTGCAAGCCTGTTCTGAAAAAGAAAGTTAATCATCTCAAACAAAAAGTCGAGAACATATTGCGTGGAGGACTGTTGGAGGTTGAAAGTCGATTGTAAAGTTGTCATCAATTTTGGATGTTGAACATCGACTGATGGAGAAATAGACTGTCTTCTACACATTCATTGGGATATCTCAACCTTATAAAGAGAAAATAGTTTCACATCCTCACTGCGATGGTTATTCAAAGAAAGTCATATTTCCGCCGAATTCTGGTTGTCTTTATGGGTTACTGAATACTCCTAAGAAAACCATTTCACTGCGATTAATCGTTTCAGCTATTGGTACATTCACCTATGAACTTGGACAAGCTCTCACATATATACCGGTATCATTAGGGGTTTTAGAATATCATCCGTGATTTATTTTCATTTGTGAAAGAACTACGAGCACTGCTAACTGCTTTATCATTATTCAAGATGGTATCATTTGATATTACTAGCTTGCATGAAGATAAGGTCACTCTTTAAGAAATGAAAAAGCTCTAAATATTTGTGACGACTGCGTTTCTCGGGGAAACTTTCCTTGAAAATTTGGAGACAAACTATCTCTCAAGCGTTCAAGACATGTGTATCCGATTGTAGCAGCCATATATTGATGATTCTTTTGTTTTGATCGACTCAAAGTATTGGGCATGCATCATTGGCGCTCGGTTGTGTCAATATGATTCAGCTATTGAATTAGCCTATGAAGATTAATCATGATTTTTAAAAAAAAGGGAGTGTCTCGCAACAAAGAATACCGGAAAAAAGCTCGGAACAGCCATTTCTTATCCAAATCTGCTTTGGGAAAACATTACTATTCGATGGAAAATCTCTTCAAAGGCAAATTTGATATTTGCATGCTTCTCAACGAGAAGAACCGCTACAAACTACTTATTGAAGAATCAGTGCTAATCAACAGCAAAAAATTGAGACCAAATCCGAACGACAGATCACTACTTTTATATTTTTATCCAGAGTACGAAAGAAAACCACGGAACGATGTTACCACATTGGACACAAAAGCCAACTGAAAAGACTAGACATTAGCGTAAAATGATGGTGATGTCGTGATTTGTTTATTCAAATTGTTCTCGATCGTTTTTGGTTCAGTGTAATTACTCGTAGATCGCCAATTCTAAGAACTAATGGATCGTCGAAGATCATCTAGTGACTTGTGATTATTCTTCTTGGTTGATTTCTTGATTTTACAAGTCTGATGATGATCGTTGAAACATCTAGCATTTACTAGAAGAAGAGAAGAAAAGAAAAGACAATGAATCAGCGGCGCTCAAAAATATGTAACTTGCTAAGGTCAAAAGTATGATTTGATAAAATCATACATTATCACTCTTGACTAAAATTGATGAGTATAGGTTTCTTCATCTATTTAAGAACAGCATAGCTGAAAATATTGTACATCTTAGAAAACTCATTCAAGTTAAGAGAAAAGAAAGAAAACCTCGTATTTTGAGCGGTTAGAAATAGATCATGAATATTCTTCTTATCCCTCCTCAATATGCACGCTTGTCTTGTTCTATCGAGTTTCTGTTAGAAAAATGTCCTTGAAACAAAATATGCGCCCTGAGAATCTCTATCACAGATCATATCCATATTTGCACAGATGTATCACGTCATGTGTCATATCAATTAAGCTAAGTACGCTAAAATCGATGGGAGCGATTGAATTTCAAGCTATACGCCACACAAGTTCGATTGCATGAGAATAAATAGAAGTTAACGTATCACATCTGTATTTGGAAAGCTGCAGAATGTCATTTGAAATTAGTTTTTTCATTGTTCTTATTGTTTCAATATCAATAATTGTGCTAGGCCAACCGAGCGATGGCAATTGTGTAGCCGAACATGAACTGAACGAAGACTGCTTTCAGTATATTTCTGCACCGTGTAAGAATACAACATTCATTGCACATAGTGTCTCCTATGGCAATACTTGTTCAAATGTTTCTCTATTTTGGGTTGGACCAATGCATAATATGACTATTGTCTTCGATAGTCATTTGTTGAATCCATATACATTATGTATCTCACAGATTGAATGCACGAAAGCGTTTCACAAGACCGAGGATGGGCACGAGTTTCCTATCGAATGAAGAGCCTACCTGTTTTTCAGCACCATACGGTGCAAGACCGACAATGAAATTCCGTTTTGATGCTGGAGATCGGTGGCATTGCTATGGAACTTACATTAACTATTTTTATAAATTTTAACTATGCCGTTTTGATATCATTTGAATTCGATTGTCTAGGCTAATGACATTCGAAAATAATTAAATAAAAATCGAAAGAGTTCAACAAGAAGAAAAATGTGAATTTTGCTCATCTTCTCGAGCTATGGGATTTGTTTCATGGATAATTATTACATCGGTATCGTCTAAAAGTAGCTCTTCTACACGATTGTTTTCACTCGCGTAAAGTATGTAATCAATAATGACTGTGAATTCGGCAGTTTTTGCTTTGTTAGTGTGTTTTATTAACAAATATGTTTTAGTCTTCATTTCGATACACTGCAGGTGCTACAACTCTTAATTTCAAAATGTTTCATTCTTCTTTTATCCTTTGTTGTTAACTGCGTTTACTTCAGTTTCATGACATTAGTCATAATAAAAATCGAAGATCCAACGTGGATATAGATTTCCACAAAAGGTCTCGATTTACATGCTCAACTTCAATTGTGTCGTATTCGAAATTTAGTCTTGTCTCTCAATCTCATGTAAATGTATATTCCTGCATGCTACTATCGATCTGCACAAAAGCCGATGAATATGACGAACCATTGACGTCTTTAGGCCGCTTGTTTTCTGGTGGCTTACATTTCTTTTTTGTTGTTTCGACTTTACATGTGAAGCTCTACTTGCATACTGTTTCCTGCGATCGATCACTTTTCAATCCATACTAAAAATGTACGACACTGCGAGTTTGATAAAAAATATGACACTTTTTTGTGTTTCTGAGACATCGAGGTTGTTTGGTGTCTGTATTTGGCACTTCTAGCCATTCTACACTACCCACTTCGTTTTCTTGCTAATACTTAGTGTGGGATGTGTAAATGATTTAGGGAGTTGGTGTGGTGATCGGTGTGAGTGTGTGTATAGGTGGGTATGAGCATGACATAGCAGACGGTCCAAATCTATAAACACCTACATCCACATCCACAAGTGAAGAATAGGCACGCACAGTCGAACCAATTCAAGCTAACACCAA